GAAACAAACCCAAAACTAATTTGGACACAATAGTCCAGAGGAGAGGTGATAAGGACCTGAGCTCATGCTGTCCACATGAGTAAAAGAAGAGGAGAGATGTGAGAGATGTCAAGGAGGTAAAATCAGCAAGACTTGGTGACTGATTACATCTGTGGGTGAGGACAGGGAAAAGTCAAGGATGACTCTGAGGCTGTAAACTTGAGTGAGTGGAAGAATGGGGCTATCCTTAATAAGGGGAAATTAGGAGAACTGGGTTCAAGGGAAAAAAGATGAGTTCTGTTTTTAAAAAGTTGAGTTTGAGATGCTTGTGGGACATCTATGCAGAGTTCCTTACCAGACATCTTGTGATGTGGTACCAAAGCTCAGGAGTAAAAGTGCTGAGTTAAAAAGGATGACAAACTTGGAGGCACCAACGATTTGGATCTTGTGAGGGCCTTGGATTATGGATTGGATTATCTACTCCAACCACCTCATTTATAGGTGAAGAAACTGAGGCACAGGGTGGCCACGTGACTTGTGTTGGACCACTGAAATAGTCAGTGGAAAAGTCAGAATTCAAACCCTCTGATTCCAAATGAAGCCCTCTTTCAGTGGTACTCTGCTACTTTGGTCTCAGGGTAAAGAATTTTGTGGCCCCAGCAACTCTTAAAGATCATTTACCAAGTTACAGATAGGCTGTGATCTGTTTTGGTGGGTTGTTCCCATTCAGGCAAAATTAGAGCTCACAGTATATGTTATTGCTTTCAAACTGGAAGGGAGCTTTAAAATCATCTATCTAGTACAATCCCCTACTTTTATAGACGAGGAAACCGAGTCCTAGGGAGGATATGTGACATTCCCAAGGTCACACAAGGAGCAAGTGGAAGAAGGACCAGGATTTGAATTCAGTTCCTTCCAAATCCACTGTAGCATATGACCTCTAGGATCTTGACGTATAATTAAACATATTTAAATAACATGTATTTTGTAAAAACCACCGGGTTTTTTGTTCTTGTTACTAAACTAATCAAAAGCACAGTAGTTCTTAATTTATTATCAGAAGCATTCCTTTGCCCAGGGAACTCTTTAAGGGTGACTTTTCTAACATGCCTTAAATTTGTAGTTTTATAGTCCACACCAAGTTGCATATTGAGTCTCTTTTTTTTTGTAGTTTCCAAAAAAACCCATAAGATTTGTTTTAATATATTGAAATAAACTATTTTCTTCTGGCCCATGTAACCGAACACTTAGAGCAATATACTAATTTGGGCATTTTAAAAAATTGTATGAGTGAGTTCAGGTTTCATGGGATTGTATGGGAAAAGGAATCTTAAACTAAAATGTAGTAGCAATTTGCTTGGGCTTATAACACTTTTGTCCCCTTTTATCCCAATACCTGAATTGACATAATTTTTTTTGAAACAGGCAAATCTCAATTGTCTAAGCCATGATGTTAATTATTCAAAAATCATATATAATGAAATTCTCTGTCACCCAAGAAAATTAGGCAATGGGAAGAGTTACCACATCGAAGAATTAGAGCATAGTTAAACACAATGTAAAACACACACACACACACATCGAATAACACAGTGTCATCTTTCTTTGATGATTCAGAAAGAACTTGAGACCTATGCAATGCCTCAAGGCCATCTTCTTGAACATCAATGATTATTGTACTATAGATAGGGAGAAGTATTATTTAATAGTGAATACTGGATGATGTGATGCTGAGTAATGGAGAACTTACTATTTCTGCCATTGGAATGTATTGTATGATTCTATTTTTTGCAGAAAATATGTCTTCCTAATGTTAATACTAAAATTAGTTTTCCTTCCTTGGGCATGCACCAATTGGCATTAGAAGGTGGAGGAAGTATGAGAATTGGCCTACGGTGAGGGGAAAGGGAGGAAGAAGAAGTTAAATGGTAATTTAAAATTTTCTATGGATACTTCACTTAGTAGCTTTGGTTGCAGATAATTAAGAGTTGCCTCCATCAGAAAATCAGACTCATCATTTGCAATAATAAAAGAGTCACTATCCTGCCGGTAATCAGGTTTTGTTTTTTTTTTTTGGTGGGGGAGGATGAGGAGGGAGAGGAACTTTAGCTTTAGCAGCTCTACTATTTGGTTAATCTTCACAATATGTCCCATACAGACAAAGGCTGTTAAACAGGTCTGCTTGTTTAAAGTCACACAGTGAGGGAGTGAAGAAGTCTGAGGTGAGGTCCAGATTACCTGGTTACATTTGTTTCTACCTAGAGAATGTTCTTTATTTAATTTGGACTTGGATGAGATAATCCAAAATGTGCTAACTTTTGAGAATATTTTTCTTTTGGGTACTAAGCCCCCTTTTATTCCAAGAAACAAATCTTAATAATGGAAATATCTGGATGACACCTCATTCATTGCTAGTAAAACTGAATATTTTTGGAAAGTGTTATGGAAGTTTGCAGTAAAAATTATAAAAATAACTATGTCTTTTGACCCAGTAATCCTGCTATTGGGAAAAGGGCAAAAAAAGAACCATCTGTTAAATATTTGATAGCAGCATTATATGTAACTAAAAACCAACAATAACAACAACAAAACTAAAAGTAACCTAAATGTTCCACATAAAGGAAGGACTAAATTAATTATGTTATATTAATACAATGTAACACTATACTGTCATCAAGACCAGCCACTAAGAGGAATGTAAAAAACTGGAAAGATCTTGATGAAATAATGCAAAGTGAAAAAGCTCTTAAGAGGATGTAGACGTAAAGATCAGTGAGAATTAATGGACAAATTGTCCTGGGGAGGTCTTACAGGTAATGATTATAAAAAAATAAAAATAATAGTTAACATGTATTCAGCCCTTCAAGGTTTACTAAGTGCTTTACATACAATATCTCGCTTAGTTCGCTCATCAACCCTGTGAGGTAGGTCCTATTATTACTTCCATTTTACAGATGGGGAAACTGAGGCTGAGATTCATTAAAGGACTTGTCCAGGGAAAAACAGCTAGTAAGTATCTGAGGCAAGATTTGAACTAAGGTCTTCTTGCCTCCAAGTCCAGTGCTCTATACATTACATGACTTGCTTAATTCTCACTAATCACAAAGTTGTGATACTTAATGCATCAAAATTGAGCTGAACTTTAAATTTAATTTAAATTATTAAAGTGATGATACTCTATGCAATGAAATAAACAAAAATTAATTTAAGTGTAAATAATTACTAACCAAATTGAGTTAATTATATGAATATCTTTTATTAAATTTTTAATAAAACATTTAATAGAGAAATAAAACCCAGAACTCAGATTCAACAAACACGTTGCTTCTTACTTCCTTCAGGCCTTATGCATGTTAACAGAGAATCCAATGTAATATAAAGAGTGCTGGATTTGGGAGACTGCTCCACTAAGTCCTAGCTATATCATTTGCTGTGTGTCTGCCCATGGGTTAAATCGCTTAACTCCTCTGAGTTCCATTTTTCTCATTTTAAAAATGGAGAATAACAATATTTGCCCTTCCTGCTTCATAGGATTGTGTAAGGAAAGAGCTTTAGAAACTGTAAACCACTGTATCAATGGTAGCTCCCATTTTAATCACTTCATTTAGTTTAGTAACATCTTAGAGTAGTAAGGAGTTTCAGGCATTGTAAAAATTACCACAGAGGCACACAGAGGTTAACAGATGTTTAGGTAGAGAATAAGTCATTAGGGTATAGAAAAGGAATCTAAGAGTTCTGTGTACCTGACTTAACAGCAGTTCACTTTCATCTGTGTGTGTATGTATGTATATGTGCATATATGTGCATATAAGTACACACATATCATATATATGTATATATATGTACACATGCATAGATAAATACACATACACAGTTAAAACTTTAAATCCTTTTAGGAATTCAGCACCAACATCTTTTTTATGGTTTCCAGTCTTCTTTGCAAGTACTAACTACTCTAAGTGTTAGATATACTTTGAGAAAGGAAAGAACCCATATTTTATGACTTGCACACTTTAAAAACATGACATTTTAAAGCGTTTTTTGTCGGGGGGGAGAAGAGTGCTTTATTTTTAGTAGACCATGGGGAGGCTCTAGTTTCCTTAGCTCCCTTGTATATGGTCCCTGTATAGGCCTGTACATAATATAATACAGAACACATAGGAGATTGGAATGAATGCATAGGGAGCCCAAGAATCCCTGTAGAAGGTTTTGTTTGTGTATGCTATTGTTACTGTTTTAAATCCCCAAGTTTCTGATACTAGATACTTCTCTCTCATCAGAGTAGAATGTAGCAATAATAATGGCTGACATTTATATAGCACTTTACACACTAACTCATTTGATTCTTGTTATATTTCTGTGAGTTAGGTACTTGTCTCATGCTTCCCAAATCTGATTAGCTGAAAGTTCCTCAAAGGGTTTCACAAACCCTGCTGGACATCAGGAATTATTCTTATTCTTAGCAGTGTTTTAGTTAATTAATATTTTGTGTTACTATATTATAATACTAATAACTTAATATCTTAGTACACATGTTATTGATTATACTTGGTTATATTACATGATAGTATGTTATGTTACACTATACAATATTACTAACATACCACATATTTCATATAAAAGCATATCACAATCACATGTTAATGGGCAGTCAGCCCAAATGCTGCATTGGTACCTATGAAATGTAAAAACATCCAGAGGCCCAGAACATTGGGTGAGTACTCTGCTCTGACGAAGGGCATGCCTACATCGATGTGATCATAGGCCTACCAAAGTATTGTTGTATAAGTTAATCAAGATAGATGTTAGAGTTGTTACTAGAACCAACCACAAACACCTTAGGAAAGTGGTTTAAATGTCTCTTTTACCATAAATAAACCCGGTTGGTAGCTAGTCAAAGCAGAGTAATAAGCTTGTGACCTATGGTAAATTAGGGCCTAGGCTCTCTCTTCTATCAAGAAAACAAGTACATCGAGAGACTTTTCATGTATTTTAAATCCCAGTGGATTTATTGACGGTACCTTTGTCTGGACCATGCCCGGTCTCTGGTCCCTCAAGTGCTCCAGGGTAGCAGCAATATCAATCTCTTTAGCACCTGCAACAAACCACAAATCGGGCTGATTTCAGAGCACAAGATAATCCATGCTGCATCTGTCAATCTCCTGCTACCGGGGTCCCCTTTGGGCTAACAGTCCAATTGAAAATTATTACATTCATCCCTCAGCAGACTTGGCAGGCAGCTGCAATTTCTGTGTTCATATAGAAAAATAAGAGGAGAGGGCAGCTTTGATTAGCATTAATTAAAAAAATCTTGGGCAAAAAAATTGGTATGAGATGCTTATACAGATACTTACCGATAGCAGAACATATTTATCAGAACAAAAATTATCCTTATTTATTTAAATGGGAGGAATTTAAAAAGAATGGTTTGAATCATATAAAGCAGTGTGTTGGAGCTTAATTCAGTCGGGGCAGAATTTTTCCACCAAAAGAGAAGAAAAGTGAGAGACATACAAATGTTTTAAACTTTAGAATTAATTTTGTAAAGCAGTTGTCCTTGCTTTTCCCCTCTGTTTTCTAACATTTAAGAAAAGAGAAAATGATCACAGTTACATCTACTATATAGCAATAACACCAAAACATTCACTAGAGTTGATACATATTTTGTGTCAGATGACCATATTCACAGAAGCCATTTTATTAAAATTCATCACTTATATTTTGTTTTTGGAAATTCGCTGAGTCAACAAATATTTTATTGTGTGCCAGGCACTGTGGAAAACTGGGAAAAAAATAAGATGTGGTTCCTGCTTTCTCTGGTCTTCCAGTCTCATAGGGGCGATGAGACAGGCACATAAATAGTAAATGAGAGATAGAAAGTACTGCAGGTATCAGAAGAGGAAAAGATCAATCGTTTCCAGTTGGGTGGATCAGGGAAGGCTGTGTGGCTGCTAGGTGGCACATTGGATGGAGAGCCAGGCCTGGAGTCAGGAAGAGTTGAGTTTAAATCTAGCCTCAGACACTTACTAGCTGTATGACCTTGGCAAGTTACTTAACCTTATCTTACCTCAGTTTTCTCAGTTATCAAATGGGGGTAATAGCAGAACTTAACTCCCAGGGTAGTTGCGAGGATCAAATGAGACAATATTTGTTTAGTACAATGCCTGGCATATATAGTCCCCCCCTCCATCTTACAGGTAGCATTTGAGTTTGGCTTTAAAGGATGGCTAGGATTTAAGAAACAACTAGGTGGCACGGTAGATAGAGTGCCAGGCCTGGAGTCAGGAAGACCTGAATTCAAATCCGGACTCTTGACATTTATTAGCTATGTGACCCTGAACAAGTCACTCAACCATGTTTATCTCAGTTTTCTTATCTGTAAAATGAGCTGGAGAAGGAAATGGCAAACTACTGCAGCATCTTTGCTAAGAAAACCAAATGGGGTCACAGAGTAGGATATGACTGAAGTGACTTTATAACAACGTACCTTGAGCAAGTCACTTAGAATCACGGATTTAAAGTTGGAATGGACATTGGAGGACTTCGAACCTAACTTTCTCATTTTCCATTTGAGGAAACAGAGGTCCAGAGAGATTAGAATACTTTCCTAAGGTTGCTCCAGTAATAAAGGACAAGGCTAGGATTTGAACTCACATCCTCAGATTCTTAATCTTTCACTTCACAATGTTGCCTGAACTTCTCTGGACTTATCTTTTTGATTGTTATCAAAATGGTCCAAATATTCTAAATCCCTATGAAGATAAAAAAAAAACGCCTCTGTAATTCAATGACTTTGACAACAAAGTGCTTTTGAAAGTCCATTGGCAAGGAAATAGCATAATTCAAATTGTGTATTAGAGGATTAATCCGACCTACTGTGTGCACAATAGATTGGTGGAAGTTGGGGAGGAGAGAAATTTGAAAAAGAGGCTCTGAATGAGGGTAATGGTAGTGGATATGGAAAGGGATAGATAGGAGCAACACTCTGGAGGGAATGACTCCTCACTAGATATATTTGCCCAAATAGAAAAACAAGCCAATATTAAGTGAAAATCGTTCCTCTCTGAATAGAAGCAGTGTTTCACAGTTTCCAACAATGAATATAGTTAATAGCTAGCAAGGAAAATGCTGTAAACATAGGTAAAGTTAAACCTCTCTTAATTTGTATGATATAATTTTGATGTCTTTATCATCTTGGATGTTTTCCTCTGGATCCTCTTTAGGGTACCCCTCTCCCCCTCCATTCATTTGTTTCAGTTGTGTCTGACTCTTTGTGACCTCATTTGGGATTTTCTTGGCAAAGATACTGGGGTGGCTTGCCATTTCCTTCTCCAGTTCATTTTACAAATGAAGAAACTGAGGCAAACAGGGTTAAGTGACTTGCCCAGGGTCACAGAGCTAGTAGGTGTCTGAAGCTAGATTTGAACCATGAAGATGAGTCTTTCTAACTCCAGGCCATCACTCTTATCCAGAGAGCCATCTTGCTGCCCTTCCTCTCTTGGTTATTAATATCCAGAAGATCTTTTGTCTCTGGGGAGATCCACTTATTAAAAATTATCTGAAACATCAACCTCACCTGAATGGTTTTTCCCTACTTAATTAATCATCCTTCTACTAAAATAATAGCATTATATACCTGGTGCCTATTTAGTGTGATTATAGTAATAATTACATGAAGAACTCATTTGTTCAGAAAACACACTGGTTTCAAGAGAAATAAGAGTCTGAGATGTATTGTTTTAGTTCAATGGTATGAAATGTTTTGGTTATGGGGTCATGTACATTCCAAACATTCTAATCAGTGAGAACATAAAACCAAGAATCAATAAAACATAATGTTTAGATATCATGCCAAGGAAAACTTCTCACTGGATAAATATTAGCACTACCACAGATTTAATGCTAAATGGACTGAGTCAGGGGTTCATGAGAACTCTAATATGTTAAATGTTTTCCTATTTTACCTTGATAGCAAGGACAGTAAGATTATAATGGTGCTCAGTTCTTGAGTATGTTTCTCACCTAATTGGCTTTTACTGGAGTAAATTCTAAACATTATTTGATTAGCTGAAAATGGAACAATGTTAGAGATTAAGAGCTAAAAAAACAAATAAATTTTCTATATGTATATTTCACTTAAACAAACTGCTGATAAATAATGAGGAAAATGCGAGTTCCAGGAAGAATGACTGGATTAGTCCAATTAGAGCTGGCCATTTTCTGTTTTGCTTTGCCCACACTTGGTATTGCCATGGATACCTCTTCCTTCCATTTCAGTCCTTCCTTCACTTTCTACTTCTTCCTTCTCTGACTACAGATACCACTGATTTCTAGCTTTCCTAAATTCCCATTACATAGACTTTGTGAATCTCTACCCTAAAATTCACTATGACAGTTTTAAAAGAAGGTAAGTTTACTGGTTCATTATGCATAGTGCACATTTTTTTGGCATTATAATACTACGTTAAACATGGATGGCAACTTAATATTTTATCTCTTGACCAGCATCAAAAAGGCCATTGAGAAAAAGGTCTGAGATTAAATGGATATTATGGAGAAAAGTAAAAATAAGTCATTGTAAAGGCCGTGACAATGATTTGGCTTATGATGCAACCAGTTTCTTAAAAGTATCTTATAAATTATTTTCTGACCAACTTTTCTGTTATGTATTATTTTGTCTTCTAATTTTCTTGTATGTATCCAACTGTATGAATCCTGTAAGTTTTTTTCATGGTAGGGGTGCCATTTTTCCTAGTTTTTGTTGTTTTCAAACCAGCTCCCATGTCATATTCAATGAGACTAAGTTTATTCATCAGAGACTTTTTCTTACAATGAAAAAATAACTCTCAGGACTCTTAGGAGGAATCAAATCTAGAGATGTTCTAGGACTCCAGAGGCCATCTAGTTCAACCCTCTCATTTTACAGATGAGGAAACTAAGGCCCTTCAAGGATATAAAGAGATATATTTAGTGTCACACAAATCAGGAAATAAATATAGCCAGTATTTGCACCTAGATCTATGACCACCAAATTTAGGGGCTTTTCCTATTCTACCTCTTACTATAAGGTGCTAAGCACAAGGCAGGTACCTGTTGATTACTTTTAGCTTTTATGCTGAATATCACTTCCTCTGGACAAGTGTTTGATATGCTACTTTTATTCCATAATGTAGTCACACCTTGCAGTTATCTCTTGCATTACAGAACAGGTATTATTTGGCAAAGTTGTCTGTAACGTGAATTACGTTTTCCCATTAGCTTGCATTGTAAAATCATAGATGTGAAGCATGTTTTAATACACCCACACACCCATGCACACACAACAGCAGCAGCAGTAACAACAATAGAACAACAGACAGATGGAAACTTATTCAGAAAAGGGTTAAAATGGAACAAACTGCTGGGCACAATGGTCTGATGCTTACTGAATGCTTGAATCCTTGTCTAAACAATGTTTCCTTTGTAATTCTCTGTATTTTATTTTATGCATTTAAAAACATTATTCTCAGAAAGGATCCATAAGCTTCACAAGTCTAACAAAGGGGTCAATGGCACAAAAATGGCTAGATTATCTAAGGCCCTCTAAAGCTCTGACATTCTATGATCTTTGAAAATTAGCTAGTTCCCCACTTTTCAGCTTTGTGAGTTCTGAAGTCCATATTTTGAGTTTGTTTGAAATGAGGAATATCTATACTTTCAGTTCTTACCTGAGTTATCTAAATCCAAGATTCTAGAGACAAGTACTTGTAATTTCTTTGTAAAGTACTTAATTTAATATCATATGTAAAAAAAGGGAGTTAAATAATTTCTCATCCTATCAAATTAGCAGGATTAAATTAATTTTTTTCCTACTGCCTGTCCACCTGCTTTATCTATCAAGAATGAAATCATACTGCAAGTATTTGACCTCATTAACAATTATTCCAATAGTGATAACAAATATGTTAACTACACAATAGATGGCACATATTTCCATGGAAACAGGCTGATATTGCAGATGCAATATTATAGTGACTTCACTGAAGACATCAGCAGGAACTGCATAGGAATGAGCACACGTACAAAAGACCAAAATAACAGAACACTGAAAACAAT